AGAAAGGTCACAGAGAATAACTCAAAAATATTTGAATTGTAGCACTGATACATTAAAATGGAACTTTAGATTCATTTGTATCCTTTCCATTCAGAGGTTTAGGTTAGCAAACCACATGACCCATCCAGTGAATTCGTCAATATAGATAGATCATTCAGCTCTTCAGGGTTTGCAGACTTATTATTAATCACACAGTCATAGACTACTGGGCCCAAATGAAGCTACCATGATGTATATGTATTCATCCTTACACATTACATACTTGATAAACCATATTTTAGTTTGTTTCTTCACATTTCATTGTGAAAACCTTCTAATTCATACCTTCAATTATTTAAAAGCCTTTAAAAAGACCTATGTAACAAACCTGTATGTTCTGCACATGTATCCCAGAACTTAAAGTGAAATTTTAAAAATTAAAATTAAATTTTAAAAAACACTTCAAGGTTAAAAAAAAATGAACTCCTGTTACTGTTAACGTATATTGGGTTTAATATTCTTTTATACAGAATTATGATGCTTTCTGTTTTGCGTAACACCAAAACACCAGTGAAATTCTGGTTGCTAAAAAATTATCTCTCACCGACATTTAAAGTAAGTACATAGCTTTTTTTGTAGAATGGTTAATGTTTGAATAGTAAATTATTTGTATCATTGTAAGTTTATATGATATTTCTCTTTTCAGAATGAGCTTTTTGAAATGTATATTTTAAAGACTTTTTAATAAATTTTAAAATAGTATTTAGTATTTTTATGTAGCTTAAGGAAAATTCTGTGCACTTTTTATTTAGAGATGTTCAAAGAAGAGGACAGTAGAAGACTATATTTTTAAGTAAAATCAAAATCAGAATGACTAGTAGTTTTTCATGATAATGAATAATTAAATACAATTTGGCAATAGAAAATATATACAGATTTTCAGTTAAGAGAAATGGATTCTGTCATTTTTGCAAAGATAGGCAGAAACAGTAGTAGTATCAAGAAAATACAGACTATGCCTATACCATAGAAAATAGTTTTACAGTACTGAAAACAAAAAAACTCTTTCGTCTGTGTAGTGCATTGATTGTTGGGCACCAGGATCTGAGGCATTTTATATTTAGAAGATTTCAGGTGATCAACATCTATTACCCTTTACTCAGAGGCCCCATACACCTGCTACAAAGTATACTCCGTTTCTTCCTATTCTCCCTACAGCATAATCAAATTCCATGAAATTTAGTGTCTCCACAGCAATTTGGTGTCTCATTCACCAGCATTTCAAATGAGTTTTTTTTTTTTTTTTCTAGACCAAAAGCAGTGGGAAAACAGAAGTAAAACTAGCCAGGCATGCTTTTATTCCTTAATATTTCTAGGCATGATGCCAAGTGTTTAACTCACGTTATTCAATTGTTTTTCATAACAATCCCACGTGATAAGAAAACCAAAATTCAAAAATTACGTAACTAGCTTTCACAGTTGAGAGGTACCTGAGACCACTTTTAGATTCAATAACTTACTAGAAGGATTCATAAAACTGCAGAAAACAGCTATGCTCACAGTTTTTATAGCAAAAGGACACAAACAAAATCAGCAAAAGGAAGAGATGCTTAGGGTAGGGTCCGGGGAGACCAGACACAAAGTTAACAATTGTCCTCTCCCAGTAGAATCCACTCCCAGTGGATAGCACTTATTTCTTCCAGCAACAGTGTGTGAGGGTACTCATGGAGTGTTGCCAACCAGGGAAGCTCATTCAAACTTTGGGGTCCAGAGTTTTCATTAAGGATCAGCTTTGTGGACTTGGCTAACAGCCTGCATAGCTAACCTTAGCCTCTAACCCCTGCAGATGTTGAACTGATGCCTTGTGGCCCAAGGTCCTCACTACAGATAACATCATTAGCATACAATATCTAGTGTGGTCCAAGGTCTGCAGGTAAACATAGACATTCTTATTAGTCAGGAAATTCCAAGAGTAGAGGGTATTTCCTGGGAGATAAGGTGAAGGGCCATACTTTTCTTTGAGCAAGAATCATCCTTTATAGGATAGGCTTGAGATGAAACAGCTAATTAGAAACACAGCTGAGATTTGAACCCACGCATTCAGACCTCAGGTACTTAACCTTATGTGACAGCCCATTTCCCCTCTACCACCAACAGTGTCTCCTCCTACGCTCATTTGACAGTAGGAAAACAAAACAAAACAAAAACAAAACAACAACAAAAAAAACAGAAAAGGAACCCATAAATATAGAAAATAAGTTATACTATTTTTCTAATTTTTAACATGTTATCCTAGTAATCAGACACTGAATAAGGGAGTATTTAACCCTAAATAGACTTAAATAGAAAAATCTAAAGATTCTCTTAGCAGGAAAAGATATTATTCACCAGAACAGTAGTGCTAGTCTGGATTAGAGAGTCTTGTTCCACTGCATGGCCAAAGGAAATACTGTATTTGAAGTAGTATTTTCCTTCTTTTTGTGATGTGTTTATTTCTTTCAAAATTTTTCTTTTGAAAACTTTTTAGTGAAATATAACATGTACTCAGAAAAGTGCACAAATCATGAAATGTAGCTTTGGAGTTTTACAAAATCAAACATCTGTGTAAACCAGCAGCCAGATACAGAAGCCGCTAGGTACTTTAGATTTGTTCCTACCAGTTTAGAAAAGTCATACTTCCTCTCTTCATTCAAATATTTGCTAAAATTATACGTACTTAGGCATAATTCTTTTCTGACAGCACTATGCAAACTATAATTCCCTCTTCCTTTTTATTTTTCTTCATAGCACTTTTTTTCTGTAGATAACTTAATAGTTTATGTCTACCTACCTCCTCTAAAATACACGCCTCATGAAGGCCATAATTTGTATTTCTTTTGTTCACTAATGTACCCTTAGATCCTAGAACAGTGCCTGTTTCAGTGAATATTTTAACACATGTTTAATGATGAAAAAATATTCTTTTTAGTTTATCTGAATGTTTTATTTTATTTTGAAACCAAAACAATGACTCCTAGCAGCTGTTGTACCCATAATTTCGAGATTTCACAGATAAAATTGGTGCTTCTTGCATTTAAAAAAAATTTTAAATCTACATTTTTCTTATAAAATCAGAGGAAAAAATTAAACATATAACCAGCAACTAGTTTCAAGTAAGAATCAAGAGGTAAAATGCAAATTTCTATATTTATTCTTCTTTTCCAGCTCCTTTTTCATTCTCTCAGTATTTGAGCTCTTGAACTAAATTTAGCCCACAGTATATTTCATTAACTGCTTCTGCTTTAAACAGGGAATAAGCTACTTCTAATCCTATAAGATAGTGAATCGAATATGAAATATTCAGACCATAATCACTACTTTATATTTTTAAACCTTTAATTAAATAATGATATATCTCAAACATGAAGCTCCTGTATAGAATCTAATTTATCAGCTTAGAACTTATTTTGTTTTTTTTTGTATCCTCTCTTCATGTTTACATCTGTGACCAACCAACCCGTTGACATATACATGAACTATTTGATATGTAGGTGTTCCAAGATCCAGAGGCTTTTTTTAAAGTCAGTTTTCTCAAGGCAGATGTTAACAATAAAAGTATGGGAACATTTACCTTCCATTAATAAGTTTGTTAAATAATATAGTGCACTTATTTTTAGTGACATTAAATTATATAGTTTTATTTATACTTGTGTTTTCATATTTGTTAGCATTTTATTATTTCTCATTAATAAGTATGTTATAGAAGTAGTATTTAGACATTTTGCCTATTAGTTGATAGCAATTTATAGGAAACTTTACCTTTTTAATGTTAACTTTTTTCTCTAAAACAAAACTACTTTCTCTTGAACATATTGTTTGATTTTGTGTGTGTGTGTTTTTAGGAAGTAATTCCTCATATGGCTAAAGAATATGGATTCCAATATGAACTAGTTCAATATAGGTGGCCCCGTTGGCTTCGTCAACAGACTGAAAGACAAAGAATTATTTGGGGTTACAAAATTCTTTTCCTTGATGTTCTTTTCCCACTAGCAGTGGACAAAATCATTTTTGTTGATGCTGACCAGGTAATAAGATTAACTACTGTTTTTAGTAATACTCAAACATTTTTTACACTTCTGTCTTAATATAGAAATTAATTCATGTTGCTTATGTTTATTATCTTCATTACAGTGCTTAAGATATGATTGTGATATATAAGCAAAGTATCTTTAAAAACAAAAAGTCAGAACTCCAGGGGAAAATTGGAAGCATTGTAAGAAGTACCAGTTATTATTTAGGACATGGAAGTTTTCTCTCTGAAGTAGTAGTTTTTACGTTGGCGAACTAAAACAAATACTTATATTAGTCATAATAAGAGTAATTAAATGAATTCCTGTAAAGTATGAGCTGATATTTGCTTAAAATTAGCAATTTCTGCTTGCTAGAAAAGCTAGCAGTTCATACAACTCTTATTCTTCCACCTTCAACAGCATTCTTTCGCATTCAACCAATAACCAAATTCTCATCACTCTTACCACTTAAGGAAAAGAGCATTTTAAATTTGGCCAACTTATGCCTGTAGTCTCAGCACTTTTGTAGGCTAAGGTGTGGAGGAAAGCTTGAGCCTAGGAATTCAAGGTCACAGTGAGCTATAATCATGCCACCGCACTCCAGCCTGAGTGACAGAGTGAGACCCTATCTCTAAAAATAAAAGCAAATAAATTTGGCCAAAAAAAAAAAAAAAAACCCAAGGCCCTCTGCTTTCAAAATTTATATGTCCAAAAATTATGGCTTTTTCTTTTTCCCCCCTTGCATTGCTTTTGAATCATTAGTGGGAAAAAAATATTTGAAAATACACAGAATTTCTAAGAAAAAGGTAATATGTAAATGAAAATATAAATTAAATGGATAAGTTAGAATTTATGTGGAACAAAAAGTATATTTTCAAGTTTATATTAGAATGTACTCATATTCTAAACTCTTATTATTTTTGTACTCTATTCCAAATTGATAAATATGAAACATTACAATGTAAACTAAGAAAATAGCATTTCTAAACACACTTTTTAAGAGACAGGATCTCACTCTGTCATCCAGGCTGGAGTGCAGTGGCACAGTCATAGCTTACTGCAGCCTCAGACTCCTGCGTTCGAGCCATCCTCCCACCTCAGCATCCTAGGAGCTGGAACTCCAAATGCACACCCCCATGCCTGGCTAATTTTTTTTTTTTTTGTACAGACGGGGTCTCACTATGTTGCCCAGGCTGGTCTCAAACTTCTGGCCTCAAGCAATCCTCCCATCTTAGCCCCACACATAATATCTAATATGATTCTTTCTCCTACCTTTCCTTCAACGTGTACACTAATATTTTTGTAGGAGGCTTGAGTGTATTCAAAAATAACATTGATATTATTTCATTCAAGCTATTTAGAATAATTGGGAGATTTTTCTTTATAATTCAAACTTAACATTTGTCAATATACAATAATGGAGATTTGCCATGGAATGATTTTGTTATTCATACATGGAGAGACTAAGAGCTCTGCGCTTATGTAATATTTAACCCCTTTCCCAAATATCTGATTCGTAAAGTGACTTGTTTATAAATGATACAACAAAATATTCTTGTTAGTGGGTAAGACCACTGTCTTAAAGACTAGGAATATAAATTTTAGTTTACCTTTAACCTGTAAGGGCAAGAGGAAAAAATGTTAAATTCAGTATATTCATATTACGTGAAAGCACTGTGAGGAAAATACAGCTCTTTGGATTTCTGTAATAGGGTAATAATGATTTAAGATTCCCATAAAAAAGGCTTATGTTATTTTACGGTGTTTATCAGACAGCCTATTTTACTTGTTTAGATTGTGAGACATGATCTAAAAGAACTTCGAGATTTCGATCTGGGTGGAGCTCCTTATGGGTATACTCCATTTTGTGATAGCCGCAGGGAAATGGATGGATATCGTTTCTGGAAAACAGGATACTGGGCATCACATCTTTTAAGACGGAAATACCATATCAGGTAAGAAAAGTCATACCCTTACCATTTAGTAAATAATGTATTGAAATACAATTTTCAGTTTTCTTAAAAATTATGCAATAAAAGCAAGCAATTACATAGTGTTCATTCCATGCCAGTCACTCTTGTAAACCTTTACGTATATTAAGTCATAAAATCTTTGTGACAATCTTGAGATAGTGTTGTCTCCATTTTGTAGATGTGGAAACGGAGGCATATAGCATTTATGTAACTTGCCCAGGCTTACCCTGCTAATATATAACTGAGCTAGGACTTAAACCCAAGTAATATGGCTCCTAACTACTCCAGAAGATTTAAACTTGGTTTGTGAAATAAAATTGAGATTATATCTTCAGTGCCTCATGGCCTTTTGTAAGGCCATGAGTTTCATGACAGCTTGGAAAAGCTTGGGGTGACCCTAAAAGATTATGGGTTCTACCAAAATTAAAACAAACTTAAAAGTCCTGGGAAACAGTATGAGACATTAGGAGCAAATCTGCGAAAGGATTAATTGTTATTAGATCTTAGGATATCTGTAGTTAATACCGTCACTGTAGACATTCATTAGAGGAAAGTAAAACTAAAGCTACATAGACAACATAGGCTATCAAGAAGTAATTCATTTTTGCAGTGCTTTATATGTAGTGGATCTCAAGAAGTTCAGGAGAATTGGAGCAGGTGACAGGCTCAGGGGCCAGTACCAAGCTCTCAGCCAAGATCCAAACAGTCTTTCAAACCTAGATCAGGTAAGTAAAATGTTAACAGAATAATTTTCAGTGCGTATACATAGACTGTTCCAACTCCCTGCTCATAAACTTTAAAGTCTTATATTTTGAGCTTTTTTCTCAAGTTTCTGATGTTTATGTAATTGTCTATTGGATATCTCTACTTATACATAATTTTTTCACCTCAAGCTCAACATTTTCAAAACTAATAGTATTTTATCCTCACTTTTCCATTCTCAAACCTCTTCTTTCTACTTTATGCCCTGTTTTAGTTACCCTCTGTATTAGTCCATTCTCACTGCTAATAAAGATAAACCAAAGACTGGGTAATTTATAAAGGAAAGAGGTTTAATTGACTCACAGTTCTGCATGGCTAGAGAGGCCTCAGAAAACTTACAATCATGGCGGAAGGGGAAGCAAACATGTCCTTCACATAGTAGCAGGAGAGAGAATGAGTGCCCAGTTGAAGGGGGAAACCCCTTTTAAAACCATTGGGGGGCGGAGCAAGATGGCAGAATAGGAACAACTCCAGTCTCCAACTCCCAAGGCAAGCGACACAGAAGACCGGTGATTTCTGCATTTTCGACTGAGGTACTGGGTTCATCTCACTAGGGGGTGCCGGACAATCGGTGCTGGTCAGCTGCTGCAGCCTGACCAGCGAGAGCTGAAGCAGGGCGAGGCATCGCCTCACCTGGGAAGCGCAAGGGGAAAGGGAATCCCTTTTCCTAGCCAGGGGAACTGAGACACACAACACCTGGAAAATCAGGTAA